CACGGTGAGGACCTAAGTATTATTTATTTTTTATTATGATAAATCACTTATTGTTTTCTTATGAAGATCTAACACCCACCTTTCTCGATTGGAGAGTGTGCAGATATTAGTAGACTAAATGCTTGGTAATATAAAAAGTGGTAGAGATCTAACGCAAAATAAATAAAAGAAATAACTAGTGCTCTTCCAAAGCAAGATGATTAAAATCGAGTAATGATAAAAAGTCCAATAGGCGAAAACATCCGACTAAATTTATGTGAGTATAAAATGAGATTATGATGACATCATCATATTTAATGACATCGTGATGATATCATTCCTACTCCCATAAATTAATCGAATACGACTGTCTTTCGAACTACTTATCATTATTATTAAAATATGATATAAGAGAATCATATCTAAATTAAAAAACATGATTTCATGTTTGGTCATTGGTTCTCTTCCAAAGCAAGATGTTACCAAGTTGGGCTGGGCTGTTGTTTGCTTGGTTTGTGAATATAACCATGTGGACCTATACTTCAACAACTTGGTGTTTATTTCATTTGGGCCAACAACAAGGCCTTGCCTTAAAATCTCCATATAGAATTATGAGGATACCAAAACGACCCGGGCTTGGAGTGATCCACATTGCATAGGATGGGTCGGATGTGGACAAACGGGATGGAGCTAGTTCGCGCCATGTGGGCCCAGGTCCATATAGCCATTTCAGAAGCCCATGATGAAATGAGAGGAATCAAGTCCAGTCAAAGGAGAATAAGATAGGATCAGCTCAGTGGAGGTTGTAACTGTCTATAAATAGAAGGGATTGAGAGGGAAAAGGTTTTGAAAAAATCATTGGGAGTGTAAAGTTTCTCTCTCTACAATTAGGGAAAAATTCTTTGTACTTTCAATTGGCGCCGTCTGCAGGAAGAACAAGAAGGATTGATTGATATCATTCTAGATCGGATCGATTCAACGCATTCTGCGAGGAAGACGACTACTCTGCGAAAGTTGAATCGCCATTGATGATGATACGATCTGTCTTGACGAGTCAAGACTTCGGTTGCTTTCGGAAAATTGGCGTCCGATCCAAGCAGATCAGATCCGTGCTTGCTTCGGCGAACTGCGCAATTGCGATCTGTTGTGATTACTGAATCTGGCTAGTAGCGGACTGAATTCAGCAAGTGTAGGTTCAGATCTGGTGTGCGAGCGTTAGTGAAGCTCCGATTTGGTCAAGAAGTCTGCAGTTGATGACTTTGCTCCGATCTGGAATGATGATCGGAGAGGCGAACTCGAATCCTTTGGAGAACGGCCAGCAGACAAAGCTCGATGAGCTGATGAACATGATTGATGCTTTGAGGAAAGAAAATGCAGAGCTACGAGCTGGAATGGAGCATCGTGAGGCTCTTGCAATTCTGAGGCCACCTCCTGAAGGAGAGGGAGCTTTACCGTCCGAAGCTGATCGTCAAGGTGATCCAGAAGACGTCAATCGTGGCGGTCTACATCGTGATGAAGATATAATCGGTAATCTGCCTCCGAATGCCGGCAGAGTAGAAGATCGGGAAGGATCTGTTCGTCTGGAACCGCATCACAAACGGATTATCAGGGAGGAAGCACCGGCGTATGAACATCGGGTTGCGTCACCATGGCGGAGTGAATTTGTGAAGGATAGGTCGTTCGATCCGCCATACCGACCTTTATTAGCGACAGTTGATTACAATAGCTCGGAAAGGAGATCTGCCGATTGAGGATTTTCGTCACGATTTTCAAGAGAAAATGAAGCATTGTGTTCCTCAGCAAGGACGGTCGCATCGCCGTTCACCGATGAAATTCTGAACGCGCCAAATCCAAAGAAGTTTTCCATGTCGATCTTCATTCTGTTTGACGGAACAACTGATCCGGTCGATCACATATACCATATTCAGTTAAAAATGGCTTTGAATACTAATAATGATCCTTTGATGTGCAAGTGTTTCCCTACGAGCCTAGCTGGACCAGCTCTCAATTGGTTCAAGAATCTGGCTCAAGGCTCAATCGCCAGTTTCCAGGACTTATGCGATAAGTTCATAAGCCAATATTACGGGAATAAGCGTCCAGCTAAGGATGTATCGAGCCTTTCTACAATGAAGCAGCATGAGGATGAGCGGCTCCAAGCTTTTCTCACCCGGTTCAACCTCGTTAAGAGCATGGTAATGGAGTGCCACCCGTCCACAGCAATCCAAGCATTTAAACTCGCAATGAACCAGGGGACGCCGTTCCACACCAGCTTGGTGGTTAATACGCCGAAGACAATGGACGAGCTGAACGAGAGAGCTGACGGTTTTGTTCGCCTTGAGGAGGAAGAAGCAGCTAATTCAAGGAAGACGTCAATTATTTCGACGGAGGAGAAGTCCAAAGCCAAGATCCGGCAAAAACAAGCTCAACCGCAACGTCACCCCTCATGGAAGGAGGAGAAGAGGCCTAGGGAGGAGGAGTCAGTCACTCCACTCAGAGTCACTTTAGCAAGGCTATACCAGGAGAACAAAGATAAGTTTCGTCCTCCTCTGCCAATCAGGCAACCTCTTGAACAGAGAGATCAGACTAAACATTGTGCTTTCCATAGTGATTTTGGGCATCAGACTAACGAATGCAGGAACCTAAGGAGGCAGGTGGAGATGCTGATCGCAAAGGGGGAGTTTGTAAGCTATGTCCAGGGTCCGGCGTAAGAGCATAATCGCCCGACTGAACAAATCAAGCGGAACCAGAGGCCAAGCCAACACAACTCCCAACCCGTCAGGATTATAAGCGCAATTCATGGCCGGCCTGAGCAAACGACAGAGTCAGAGGAGTTGCTCAGGACGAGGTTACACCAGGCCCAGCTGAAAAGAAGAATTGGCAGTGTACATGCTTTACACCAACAGAACGCGTCCACATCGATAAAGTTTGATAAAACGGACCTGCTACGCGTTCAGATTCCTCATGAAGATCCACTAGTCGTCAGTCTGACGATTGCAGAATGCCTGGTTCAGAGAGTCCTGATTGATCCAGGAAGTAGTGCGAATGTCATGCCCAGGGTGACGTTCGACCGACTGGAGATCGCACCCGAAAAACTCAAACCCACAGGGAATCCGCTGCTCGGATTTAATGGAAAGCGAGTGGAACCCATTGGAATAGTAAAATTAACAGTACAAGTCGCTGAGCGAGTTCTGACTGAAAGTTTCGTGGTAGTGGAAATTTATCCATCATACAACCTCTTGATGGGCAGAGGATGGATTCACAGAATTCAGGGCGTTCCGTCAACCTTACATCAAGTGATGCGATGTTTAGGTCCGGATGGGATCAAGGTGATAGATATACATGGGGACCAGGTTGCGGCTAAAGAATGTTATTCAGTAACTTTAAAATCTACTGGAAAAGGGAAAAATCCCATCCGTTCTGTCATTCCAAAATAGCAATTACAGAACCCTTCTCCCAGTAAAGATGGGGGGGAGGAGCTGCCAGTTCTGACCACAGAACCCCTTCATGAAGCAAAGATTGATCGTGGAAAACCAGACCGAACAACAAGGGTGGGCACCAAACTCACTGAAGAAGAGAGACTAGAGTTGACTAATTTCCTGATTCAGAATGTGGATGTATTCGCATGGAGCCATTCAGATATGCCAGGGATAAATCCTGCTGTATCCTGCCATTCCCTCAATGTGGATCTGAATGCAAAGCCAGTAAAGCAGAAGCAGAGAAGATTTGCTCCAGAACGAAACCAGATTATAGCTGAGGAAGTTGATCGGCTGCTTGAAGCCGGATTCATCAGAGAAGTTCAGTACCCGGCCTGGCTCTCTAACGTTGTTGTAGTGCATAAGAAGAATGGAAAATGGAGAGTGTGCATCGACTTCACCAACCTAAACAAAGCCTGCCCAAAGGATAGTTTCCCATTGCCCAGGATTGATCAAATGGTAGATGCCACCACAGGATATGAGCGGTTAACTTTCCTGGATGCTTATTCCGGTTATAACCAAATTCCTATGGATCCAGTTGATGAAGAGAAGACTTCATTTATTACTGAACGAGGGACTTATTGCTATAAAGTCATGCCATTCGGATTGAAAAACGTTGGAGCCACTTATCAAAGGCTGATCAGTAAGATTTTTAAGGGCCAGATAGGCAGCACTGTCGAGGCTTACATTGATGACATGGTGGTCAAGAGTAAGAAGAAGAGCGACCATTTAGCGCACCTGCAAGATGTGTTCGATGTGTTTCGCCAGTATGGGATGAAGCTTAATCCGGCCAAGTGCTCATTCGGTGTAAGCTCCGGTCAATTCCTGGGACATATGGTCAATCATAGAGGAATTGAGGTCAGCCCAGCAAAGGCAGAAGCCTTGATCAGGAATGCAGAGCCAAAGACAATTAAAGAGGTGCAAGCACTCACAGGCAGGATAGCCGCACTTAGTCGATTCATTTCCAAGCTTTCGGACCGCTGTAAACCTTTCTTTGATATAATACGAGGGCATGGAAAGCAAACCTGGGGGGATGAACAACGGCAGGCACTAACCAACCTGAAGGAGTACATACGTAATCCCCCGGTTCTGTCTGCTCCAGAACCGAACGAGAGACTTTTTCTATATCTCGGGGTGTCCAGCATAGCAACCAGTGCCGTTCTGATCCGTTGCAAAGAAGGCAAGCAGTTCTTGGTGTTTTATGTTAGGAAGACAATGTCTAAACTAGAGAGAAGATACTCTAAGGCCGAATGAATGATCTTGTCGCTGATCAACGCAAAAAGGAAGCTTAGACACTATTTTGAATCTCACCCAATCGTCGTTTTAACAACTTTCCCTTTGAGAATGATCCTGCACAAACCGGACCTGTCGGGGAGAATGACCAAGTGGGCTATTGAATTGAGTTCATTTGATATCACATACGAGGCCAGGATGGCAATCAAAGGTCAAGCGGTGGCGGATTTCCTACTTGACTGTGATGATGAAGATACGGTGGAGGATTGTAATTGTTCTTGGTGGAAGCTTTTCGTGGACAGCTCCTAGAATCAAATGGGGGCCGGGATTGGAATTCAATTGCAAACACCAGAAGGAACTACGCTGAGCCAAGCGATAAGGCTAGAGTTCAGCGCGACCAACAATGAGGCAGAATACGAGGCGCTGATAGCCGGGTTGAAGTTGGCTAAGGAATTGAAGATCAACAATCTGATGGCTTATAGTGACTCGCAATTAGTCATTCGACAAGTCAATGGGGACTATGGAGCCAAGGATGAGACTATGGAAGCATACCGAACTGCGGTTCTGCGTGAGGTGAAAGCCTTTGATCAGATCAGGTTTATCCAGTTGCCAAGAGAGTATAACGAAGATGCCGATCGCTTGGCTTGTAGCGCATCTAGTTCTGGAGATACTTTAGCTAGGGTCATCCCGGTCGACATACTGATCCAACCTTCCATTTTTGAAGAACTGCCTGATCCGAGCACTCAACATGTTAATGTCATACCATATGAGCCGAGCTAGATTGATCCAATCATGGCTTACATACGTAGTGGTACACTCCCCGAGGGTAAGGACGAGGCAAGAAGAATTAGGTCCAGCGTAGCAAAGTATGCCATTGTGCACGGTCAGTTATATAGACGCTCCTTTTCGGGTCCATATTTGAAGTGTGCTACCCCTACAGAAGCTAGACAGATTATGCAAACCATTCACGAGGGAGTATGCGGAAATCACTCCGGAGGAAGATCTTTAGCACACAAAGCAATGACACAGGGGTACTTTTGGCCGAACATGGCACGAGATGCAGAAGAATTCTCTAGAAAATGCGATATATGCCAGAGGTTCGGGTCATTGATACATCAACCACCTGAGGACCTGCACGTAATGGCCACCCCATGGCCTTTCACACAGTGGGGGATGGACGTGGTTGGCCCTTTGCCGATTGCAAGATCGCAGAATAAGTACGTTCTGCTAGCTACTGATTACTTCACCAAATGGGTAGAAGCGGAGCCGTACCCTAGTGTCACCCAAACTCAAGTAAGACGCTTCATCTGGAATAATATTATCTGTCGTTTTGGCATACCAAGGTCAATTGTGATGGACAATGGAACCAACCTCGATAGCAAGCAAGTGAGAAAGCTGCTAGAGGAATATGGAATCAATCAAAAGTTAGCAGCAGTCAGTCATCCTCAGGCTAATGGTCAAGCCAAAATCACAAACAAGACAATATTTGCTTGTATCAAGAAAAAGCTGGAGAATGAAAAAGGCAAATGGTTGGATGAGCTATCAAACGTCTTGTGGGCTTACAGAACAACCCCAAGATGGCCAACTGGTGAGAGCCCATTCGCTATGGCCTATGGCACCGAAGCGATGATACCAATCGAGCACTTGATTCCAACTGTAAGGAGCTTGGCATGGGATCAAGAGCGGAATGATAGAATGCTAAGGTTCAATCTTGATTTGTTGGAAGAAAAAAGGGATGCGGCTACAGTGAGGCTTGCCTCTTATCAACAGACACTCGTGAATAGCCATAACAAGAAGGTGAGGCACAGGGGTTTCGCTCCTGGCGATCTGGTTCTGAAAAGGAAGGTGGGAATAGTCAAAAAGATGTTCTCCCCATGGGGAGGTCCGTACAGAATAGCAGAAGTCATTGGAAAGGGGGCATACGTCCTAGAAACTATGACAGGAAGGGTAATCAATAAGCCATGGAATGCTATGTCTCTGAAAAGGTACTACCAGTAAAAGTAGAGTTTAATTTCAAGCATATTGTACGTTCTGAATTGCATGCTTGAGAATGTATGAAATTTCCATGCTTTAAAAAAAGCCTCTTCTTTATTAAAAATCTACACCCTTCCCATTCAGCAAGTTAGTGGCAGCTGGCACTTAAAGCCGAACGCCAAACACTTGCTTAGAAAATGAAAAAGCCAAGTGGCAAGAGGCTTTCAGGCCGAGCGCCAGGCTTTCAGCAAGTTAGTGGCAGCTGGCACTTAAAGCCGAACGCCAAACACTTGCTCAGAAAATGAAAACGCCAAGTGGCAAGAGGCGTTCAGGCCGAACGCCAGGTTTTCAGCAAGTTAGTGGCAGCTGGCACTTAAAGCCGAATGCCAAACACTTGCTCAGAAAATGAAAAAGCCAAGTGGCAAGAGGCGTTCAGGTCGAGCGCCAGGCTTTCAGCAAGTTAGTGGCAGCTGGCACTTAAAGCCGAACGCCAAACACTTGCTCAGAAAATGAAAAAGCCAAGTGGCAAGAGGCGTTCAGGCCGAGCGCCAGGCTTTCAGCAAGTTAGTGGCAGCTGGCACTTAAAGCCGAATGCCAAACACTTGCTCAGAAAATGAAAACGCCAAATGGCAAGAGGCGTTCAGGCCGAGCGCCAGGCTTTCAGCAAGTTAGTGGCAGCTGGCACTTAAAGCCGAACGCCAAACACTTGCTCAGAAAATGAAAATGCCAAGTGGTAAGAGGCATTCAGGCCGAGCGCCAGGCTTTCATCAAGTTAGTGGCAGCTGGCACTTAAAGCCGAACGCCAAACACTTGCTCAAAAATGAGTAAGGAAATGACAGAATGATGATATGGCCGAACGATAAACACTTGTAAAAAAAAAAAACCACAACACTGCAAAACTGAAAATAGAAAACTCAATGGAGGAAAGTGATACTGAGCAAAGATATTATCATTCATAGCCAAAAAGGCCCCAAGGTACATAGTACCATACATGCAGATTCCAAAAAAAAAAAAAAAATGCTATTAGCTCTCAATTCTGATCTTCTCCAGACTGTGGCTTGTCGTTCTCGCCACCATCTCCTTCTGGACCATCGAGATCTCCATCTGCCCTATCATCCTTAGAAGGGGAGTCGAGATGAATCACCCCCTCAGCAGGCATAGGTTTTTCGGCAGCGATGGAGGAAGATGGCACGATGGTAGAAAGGGGAAGAATGTTCAGAGGGTGAAAGGGTGGGACAATTCCTGAAGATGTGACCTCTATGCATTCAATAAAGATGTTCTTGGCTGGGTCACATGGTGGATTTTGATAGTTGTTTGGGGGGTGGATGTCCAGAGAAGCGTTTAGTTCATCAGGACCAGCACAAGAGCTTGATTCACCTTCGAGGGGAGAACCGTCAACAAAACCGTCTCTGTACCCTTCAGCATACCGGATGGCACTGGTCCTGGTAAAGCGAGCAAGGAGAGCCCTCATTCCCCCTTCGACTTTGCTGACCATGTTCATCAGGGAAGACCGTTCATTCAGAAGTTTCTCTTTGGAATTCGCATATGATAACCGTTCAGCAATGAATGAACGCTGAAGGTCCCCCTTTTCGGCTTTGAGAGAGTCCTTTTCTGTCAGAGCTACACTCTTCTTGGTTTTTAAGACATCAACCTCATCATGAAGAGAGTCCTGTTCATTCTTCAGGGAGTCCCGTTCAGCTCTGAGGGAATCCTTCTCATTTGCCAGACTGTGATAACCCTCGGATCCGAGACACGGGTTGATCAGGCCCAGGCCCAAACCCGAGGGAATATCAAACAATTAATATTTTATAATGAACACGGAATACAAAATAAATTAAGAAATGAAATTAAAGCTGGAAGGAATTAAAAATAGAATCCGCAAAATATTATAATTATTAAAATCCATCAAACCCAAACTCCAAAACTCCATCAGTTTACAACTTGAGAATTCATCTCTAGTGGACCCCTATTAAACATCCAAACGGAAGATAGAACAACTGTAATAAACGTCCAGAAATAAAACTATACAGAGAGCCCTACATCGTCGGAAGAGTGAATAGAGACTTCTGCTCAGCACGAACACGTCTAAGCCTGGAACTGTCATGTACCTGAAAAAATAGAAGTGGGTCAGGCCCACGCGCAACCTAAACAATTCAACAATAGCTGATAGTCCGTAAATATATATATAGTCACACTAAAGGACTCTCACTGGACTATAGGCCGGTCTCAACCTGAATAAAGGTAACATACTAAAACGCATACGAAGTGGGCATATGTACCTATACCTAAACAGGGTACACCTCCAACCATCGTAGCCAGCTACATATCCCGATGCATATACGCTCCCTAGCCATCAGTCCTGAGGCTCAAGCTCATACCGAGGCACCATAACAGTACATATATAAAATCCATCCAAAATCCCTGGTATTGCCGCTCAACAAGTAGTTGCCATGACAATACAAATCCACGGGACTTAACTTTTAGTTAATCCCATCCTTATTCCAAGTAGGTGGGTAATGGTATTGTTTTAAAAACCAAACCCATCCTTAGTATGCCACCGTCCCATACCGATGCTTACTTTCCAATCCTCCAGTAGTCAATAATACCAATAAATCAAGTATATATTAACTAAATTCCAACATCCAACATTCAATGTTAGCAGTGATAAAATAAGCATTGATAAACAGGGTCACAACAACAACATATACATGCCCAATTTAAGTTGTTCCCTTTAGTCTGATATAAAGACAAAATTAATTAAAACTTCCATTTAACACCTTACAAATGACATACAGATATGTAGGGTATGTATCACAAAATCCTAACCTCCACAGTTGATACTAACTGTGATAATGTAAGCATCAAAACAATATTCACAGTATGTATGTAGACATGCTCAAATTATAGTGTTCCACAAAACCGATCTAGTGTTAAACTCAAATCCTCCTACTATTTAAGTTCCAACAGTTGCTATTACAGAAGTTAAGATAGCTATCATCTAGACCCATCCTTCCAATAATTTATACTAGCAGTGGTAAGGAAAAACGTGAACCATGGTTTCACAATGCATCCACAAACATGCTTAGTCTAGGTTGAACAAACATACAACACTACTGTAACTACCAGTTTCATAGCAAAACAGATATCATTTTAGTTTGGTTTAATCTTCATTAATCCTGGAATCATTTAAGAGTGCAAAGAGTATGAAGCCTAAGGGAAAGAGTAAGGATAGAATCTTGCCTCAGAAACTTTTGTTCAAAGTTTCAACGTCGTCTTCTTAAAAAAATCCCGGCGAGTTCCAAAACCCGGTTACTGTTCATGGGTACGAAACACTATTCCTGAACTCAAAATCTGATCTTCACCGTTCAGATTGTGCGACACTGAGTGTTGAACCTATCCTCCAAATTTCAGCTCGATCAGACCACGGACGAAGTGGGATCGGATGTTTGATAAAATCTGGGCAGAATGAAAAAAAACCTGTGTGACCCAGTTACTGTTCAGGAGTACGAATCACTGTTCCCGAGGTCAAACTCTGATCTTCACCGTTTAGATTGTGCGTCACTGAGTCGTGAACTTCTCCTCCAAAATTCAGCTCGATCAGACCACGGACGAAGCGGGATCGGACGTTTTGATCAAACCTTGGCATAATGTGAAAAATTGCGTTTATCCTTCTCCACTTCCACAAAACGTGTGCTTTGTTTAAAAAACCCTACATAGACGTCTACCTTATACTTATAGAGTTTTCCTAAACCCTAGGTTCATTTAAGTCCAACTCGCAATCCTAACCGGCCCATCCAATTAACGTA